TAAATGCAATATAAAAATAAAATCTTTCGCAAAATCTCTAAGAATTGAATGCTATGCCGTCGATTGTCGAGAGAACTGGTAGATATAGTGATTAGCAAAGGTATCTTTTTAACATAACTTAAGTAAAATAAAAACAGTTCTCAGAAGAATTTGACTTGTATATTCCTTAATTATTATTTTTTTTTTCTTTTTCGCATTTTTAGTTTGATAATTATTGATTGAAAAAAATGAGTGAAAAAAGAAATTTTTATGTTTTATCCGCAGTCATTAAATTATTTGCAATTATTTATTATAATTGATAAATAATAATACAAAAAATTTTATTTTCCTTATTGAAAAATTGCTTCGTGCAATTTGAATGCTATTTTTTATTTTAAACTCAGAGTGAAAAATATTGGTTTCTATTTTTTCATTGGTGTGAATCAAAATTAATTTTATTCTGGGTATCCGTGGGCCTTGAAAATTTCAAAAAGAGGTAACGAAAATGATATAAATATCAATATTTTAATTTTTGAGCAACCACCACTAAAAATTGTTTTCGAAAGATGGTATATGTAAGCATGAAATTTCTCCTTATCAGCCATTTAAGGATAAAGTGGTATAGTAAAATAAGAAATATTTTCTATTACTACACTAAAACTTTTCCAGCACCGCGGGAATTTTATTTCTTTCTAGATTCATATGAAAAGCAAAGCTATTCCTAGGGCTCATTGTTCCTTAAAAAATTAAAAGTGGTAGCGAATTTAAAAACGAAAATGTATTTTCATACATCCACCACTATTAGAACCATTACACACCATTACATTTCATACATCCACCACTGTATTTTCATACATACATACATTATGTCCACCATTACACTTATTATTTACAAATAAACGTATCCAGTAACAGAAATCACTGAGCTTGTATTTTTAATATTGAATTGAAAGTTAATGCAAAAAAGTTCTAATTTTTTATTAAAAATNATTTTTTTTATATTTTTTATTATGCCTTTCCGCTCTGTTGCATTTAGTTTATTTCTCTACTAGCTGAATATCAGTTGTTCGTGCAGGGTAAGAAAAATTGTAAATGATCAATATTGATTGATATACTGAAAGATATACAATACTGAAAGATATTCACCGACACAATAAATTAACACGTTTACTGCCAATCCGAATACAGGTGGTTATTTGTCTTCTTATTAGGCACTATTGCCAATTACCGGCCAAGGACGTCTCAGTTAGTTTACCACATCTAGATCTATTCGGTACTATATTTTTCCATCAATTAACTGTCCTTAATCACTTCTTTACTCTATCCAATCATCTTGTTCTAGATCTTCCTCTTCTTCTTTTTCCCTCTAGTGTTTCGATCAATAAAGTCGAGATCGATAAAGATAAAATTAAAGATAAACATTCTTATTTTGTCAACCGTTTTTACTTTAAAATTCATAATGAGTTTTTTTTTCACTAAACGATGCATTATTGTCGGGAGAGTATATCATATTTTTTGAAAAATTGTAAGATGATAACATGCTACGACTGAAAGGATAAAGTGGTATAGTAAAATAAGAAATAATTTCAATTTCTACACTAAAACTTTTCCAGCACCGCGGGAATTTTATTTATTTCTAGATTCATATGAAAAGCAAAGCTATTCCTAAGGCTCATTGTTCCTTAAAAAATTAAAAGTGGTAGCGAATTTAGAAACGAAAATGTATTTTCATACATCCATGTCCACCATTACACTTATTGTTTACAAATAAACGTATCCATTAACAAAATCACTGAGCTTGTATTTTTAATATTGAATTGAAAGTTAATATAAAAAATTTCTAATTTTTTATTAAAAATATTATCTGCCCTTCTTAATGTTTTTAGGACGATTTGAGTCCTGTATTCGTGTCCTGGAAGCAAGAAAAATAAAATAAAAAAACGGGTGTGAAAATCATTTCATTTCTGTGTTGTTTTCGCAAGGCTCGTACGGATTTTAATTATTCCATTATAAAAATAAACTTATTTTTATTAATTTCGACCTTAAAATTAAGAATTAAATACTCCACTTTGTGCCGACATTTATTTGAAAATAGTTATCATAGCGGTGAATATAAAACTGTTAAAATACTCCTCAATTTTATCACCTTTATTTAATTCTATAATGACTGTATGCACCCTGGTTTTCGGAAAGAATAAATGACAATCTTTACAAAAATTTAATTAAAGTTATTTTTCAAATTAATGAAATAATTTTACATAACACTTGTCTTTGTAGACAATATTATTTTATTCCTTTCGAAAAAAAAGATAGGAAGAATATAGTTCCATTATCTTTTTCTTTTTTCTTTTCTAGGGGTACAAACAACCATGGATTACTCTTCATTTATTTAAGAATAATAACTTGTCTGTTGAAATAGTTTCTTTAGCAATTCTGTTGCTACAATTAAATATAATGGGTTTTAATATTTTTTTTAATCTTATTCCTTACATTATTTTGTTCATCGACAAAACTTTGAATTGTAAATTTCTACAATATTTTTAACTATCTAGCTTCATAAGACAAAATACTAAATTTGTCAAATAGTTCTCGTGAAAAAAGAGTTTTAAAAATATGTTTTTTCTTATTTACTTACTATTTTTTTTTTGAAATTTTATAACTTAGAAACTATTCAACCAACCTGGATGACAACTTGCTCCACTTTGTAAAAAACAAAATAAAAATAAAAATATTTTCAACACTTCAAATCAAAAATTCAAAGCATTATTCGAAATGCAATTTTATTGCAGGAATCTCATGGTGATTCTTTTAAAGAGCGGAAGTTAGTTGTACTATTAGCTACCAATTCATTAGAACTTTTACAGAAAGCGGAACAGTTGACATCTCTGGTTTCAAGAATTGTAGCTGTTCCAGAGATATCAATTCAAAAGACCTAGATCGCCACGATAAAGTGGCAGTAAGTTAATAAGTTAATAATACTACGGATTATCCGTAGTATTTCTTTTCTGTATCTATAATGACAATAAAGCTCATAAATTTATTTATAATTTTAACTTATAATAATTTTTAGCACCACTACATGTAAATAAATGAGTCGTAGATAAAAAAGAACGAGTTAAGGAATTAATGAATCAACGGCTTTTGATTCTACAAAATATTTTTATAAATGATCAGTATATAAAATGGTAGAGAAATGCAAACTAAAATTTTCGGAATTTTGGTTAATTTCGTCACTTTTTTAAAAGATTCAGCACTACAGCAAAGTGAAGTCCTCGCCGTTCCGAACAAGTTGGTAATTTTCATCTACAATTGTATTTCAGTTCTCTTTTTTTTTACTACCACTTAGAAAATTTATCTAAGTTATGAAAATGTAAACTTATTTTGTTCGATTTTGACGACACTTCAAAATTTCTATTCACGATTGTCATATTTTATATATTTGTTAAATTATTTTTCGATAATATGTCTGTCAACATCATTATTAACCAAAATTATTAAATCAAAAAATAGAGAAATATAGTAAAATAGAGAATTATAAAATTTATTACGATTTTAAGTATTCAAGAAAAAGCTTCCACTAGAGCAAGAACAAAAATCGCACTTTTGGGAACTTTTTGGGAGCACTTTAGAGATACAGGACGATATTTTATTATTAAATGTGGCTGTGAACACCACAATTTAAAAATAATTTGAACAAATATCTGATACATGACAACCGTGTGGAAAACTTTGTTACTACTGGCAAAGTTAAACACTTTTGTTTTACCTCATTTCTTATTGAACGATTTCTTTATATATCGTATAAATATGTTATTCCTTATTTAATAGCTATATTGACCGAAAGAAAAATATATTTCCCACAATAAATTTATGTTAAAGAAAATCTCCTCTAGAATTGTAAAGAATTTAAACTCATTTAAACAAGATCATCATTATTCGACCATAAAAAACGAAATCGCTTGAATTGTTTTCATTTTCAAATACGACTTTTGAAATATTGCATACAGAAACTATTCGATCGGTTTCGTTAAAATTTTGCGTTATGTCATTAATATTTAAATAGTTTGAAATGGAGTAATAATTTCTTTATCTTACGATGTTAAAACATTTAGTTTATTATTAAATTAAATAATGAAAAAATAGTAAATATTTATAAAAATACATTTTTGCATCGAATTATTATTGAATGAACAGGTTTATAATTGCAAGTAAAAACTTTTCTCTTTGTATCGAAACTTTTCCAAAATCTAACAAAATTTTCAAAAAAATCAATTTCACATAGAGGCTCAAATTTTTTAATTAAACTATTCGGACCATAATCCTGACTGTTTGATGGTCAAGAATCCAAATCAAAATCAATCCAAACAATTCCAGCCTAAATCAATAAAAAGGTATAAATATTCAGGGAAAGAACGCTTATGTGACTGCCATGTCTCAATTTTTTGTAATTTGAAACATCGTTAGCGCTAATTAATTAGCACACATTTCACGTCATCTCTTTGAAATATTAAGATTAGTACTCAATTCGAGAAAATTCGATTACTACAACAAAAAGTGATCTTTATGAGAGAGAACGAAGATTTGAGTGCATTATTGAAAATAAAATATTAATCTCATAACTCATAACTAAAAGAGTTTTGTCCACCACTCTGCTTAAATATCAGGCATTTAAGTATGAGATAGACGATTCGTACTGTTTTCCAGTTTTGATACATTTTTTAAAGAAAATTTTATTTATTTTAAAAATTTCTGCTTCAATTCGCTGAAAAATAACTATATAACAAAAACTTCAAAATCCTCAATTATTTCCCAATTTATCACAAAATTCCCAAATTTATCACATAATATTGATATTTGCAGTGAATCTAGGAATTAAGGATTTTAACTTCAGATTATGTAAACAAAGTGTAGTTTATTTTGTTTAAAAAGAGTTATTAAAATGATTGACGTTTTGTATGGCTACTTTTGAACTAATCATATCATTTTGAATACATAGATAATAGTGAGGAAAGTGCACTTACCTTCTACCACGTGTCTTCAGGTTATGTCACAGTATGGTTACTGCAGCAAGCGAGGATGGCTTTTTTTTCCTGGATGGAAAATGGAGAAGATCTCTGCACCCACACCTGATCTAAAATAAGAGTGATCGCTCTGAGGATCCTTTCTGCTCTTCTCTATTTTAGGAACAGTAAACTCTCTCCCCTCCTTCCTCTTATTCTATGATCCCTGCCAGCCTCAACTCCAGACACCCCACTCTTATGATTCTTTTGTTGTTTCTACTCCTCTCTTTGATCAGTGTTTACGTCACACTGAAGAAATAAATAAATAGTCGACTTAAAGTGAAGGACTGATTGTGAAACATCGAATGCATGCATTTTGCTTTAAAAAAAAAAGAAGTTATGGAAAATATTTTACAAACAATGGAACATATAACAGTATTTAATGAATTTTTTCAACTCTTATGATTCTTTTGATGTTTCGACTCCATTTTTTATTAGTGTTTTCATCACACTGAATGAATAAATAAATAGTCGACTTAAAGTAAAAGTCTGATTATAAAACAATGACTACATACAATTATTTTGAACAAAGAGTTACTGAAATTTTTTACAATCAATAGAAAATATTGCAGTGTTTAAGGACATTTTCTCAACTCTTATGATTCTTTAGCTATTTCCATTCCTGTTTTCAACGGTGTTAACATCACTCTGAAGAAATAAACACATAGTCGACTGAAAGTGAAGGCCTGATAGGGAAACAATCATTACATGCAATATTTTTTAAACAAAAAAGTAGCGGAAAATGTTTTACAGACACTGGTACATATTGTGGTGTCTAAGGAACATTTCTTAATCTTTATAACACCTCTTTAATATGACACTTATGTGAAAGTCCATCAGTAAAACAATGGCAATATTCAATTTCTTAGGAAAAAAGTTTTAGTAAATTGCCAAACTATGTAATAATCTGTAGAGTTTAAAATTTTTTTTCAATGCATTAAATATTGTTCATGGAAATGTTATATAAATCTTCTTAATTGTAAGGTAATTTATAAAATCTTTTGATACCTGTTGTTTACAGCAATCTTTCTTTGTGCTTACGCAAAAGGCAATTGAATATCTCACAAATGCAATAAAATATTACCTTTAAAATGTGTTTCCTATTTATCTGTTTTATTTACCACTTCAGTTTAAAAAAAATAAAAAATAAAATTTCCAAACCGATAAAATTATAGTATAAATAAACACATATCTAATCTCAGTGTTGCATTTTTTAAAGATTCATTGTATTGCGAAACCTACAGCTACAAAGATATCACTCACAGCTGGCCGAATCCCATTACGACTCACAGCTTATCAACGAAAACGTCAAATATAGCCCGGCAAATGCATTTGTTTCATTTCTGATGGGAATATCTCACTATTTTTTTAAAACTTATTATGTACATATTGCAAGTAGCTATAAACATTGCTTTCCTGTAAATATTCATTTTCAAGTTCTCTTCCGTAGCAACAATTATACCTTGGCCCCAATTGGGCTCAAAATTGTTACAATATGGATCCCGTGTGAACAGATCCCGCTCCGAGGGACCAATATTGGGATGTCTAGATTTTTAAATATTGGTCCTATTCAGTGTCAATATCGGCCTATATAGGGCCAATAAAAGGATTATATTTGCCGAATAATGGATATAAAATATTAGGTGAATCTGATAATTCCATATGTAGCCGATATTGGTTGTAAAAGTGGCAGTAAAATATCGGGTGAATCGAACAATTCTATATAGGGTTCATATTGGAAATTACCAGCTCCTCTGAACCCTTATTTTAGCCAAGATTCGTGAATGTTGGTTCAATGAGGGCCCTAGTTATTTTGCTGCTAGCGTTATTTTATGCATTATTGTACCCGTTTACGCTGCCGAAAGATACATAGGATGTGGGTCTTCTGGTCCCTTTCAATCTTTAATCATGTTATTTTTGTTCCCACCGAATTCATACCTGCTTCATCAATTCTTATTAGTACTTCTCCCTCAGGCGAATATGCAAAAGCCAAAACTCATGCCACATAAGGAACTGATCTTGGCTATCAAGGAATCTGTTTACCAACAAATTGACATGCGAACAAATATGAATTACCTATGAATTCTTTTTCTCTGATTGCAATATTTATGGTTGGGTAATAATGGATTATATACTCGTTTTTAAATTTTGTTCATTGAAATGTATATCCAGTGTTGGGATGATCTTAAAATTGTTTTCATACGTATATAGAGGAAGTTATCAAAATAATGGAAACGTTCTATACTAACTCCATGTAAACAATTTTGCTTTTTACATCAAATGTGTTGATTAGCTACATGGAAGAACATACTTATAGAAATTGTGTCTTTGTTAACCATGCAAAATTTCCTTTCTAAATACAGTGAAATCTCCAAGAAAGATCACCTCTATTTACGACCCCACAGAGAGACACAGAATTTTTTCCATAGACTTTGCGCTGACGAAAACCTTTTGGAGAGACCATTAAAACCTCTCCCTGCGACCCGGAAAACATCTGCATCAATGTGGAAAAAGGTCAATGGGGGAAAAACGAAAAAATTTCAAAAGATTTAGCAAATCAAATAAGTAGATTAAAAGGTATTCAAAATATTTGTGTTAGGCTCTTATTTAGAAAATTCTTTTTGACAATACAACACCACGTTGCAGTCTGAGTGCAATGAAGACAATGCTATCTATGATTTACTTTTAGAGTTGAAAGTTAAATTTAAAAAAAAGTTAGTTTAGAAAATTTAAGCAAACAAACCTCTTCTCACCTTTTAAGGCTAACTACGACCTTCTATTCCTTCTGTATTCTACGACAGTAATTATTATGATATAAAATTAAATGCAAACTTAAACAAAAACATAATTTTTTCTGTATTCAATATATTTTTATCATTCATAATTGGTAAATTTGTTTTTACACAGAATTATATCAGTTGGGATGATTTTTATAGACGCTTAATTTTATTCATAGATCTGTCTTTTCATGACGCCAACAGAAGTGACATTGCCGCTTCGAGAAAATGACACTGCCTAAAATTAAAGTCGTCAGCGAAAGATTATGTACCTTCGATAATTTTGAAGTCATTGGAGGTAATCTCTAAGAACAACTAATCTCCAGCAACTACCATTTTACCGTGGAACGGAGCATGATCGCTCCCGAAGGGTTTCACTGTACCACTATAACTAAAAGAACATTCTGATTCTATATAAAATTATATGAACTATGTAAAAATTGATGATATTAAAGCTAGAGAACAAAAATAACTTCCCAAGTAAAATTTTTGATGGTTTTTTTATTGATGGACCAACATAATCTTGATGGTAACCATCAATAATTCCATCAAAAACCATTATATTTTTTGATTGTAAACAGGATAATTAACCGTCACACGAATGTAGGAATTCGAACTAATTTATGATGGGCCAACGTGAAAAATCCATAATTGTTTTGATGGTATATTCCTGCTGAACTAACAAGAATTATTATTAATTAAGAGTTATTATTATTATTATCATGAAAATATATTATTGTATCATTATGAACCATTACGAATTTAAATTATAGAACTTAGAAATCAAATGTTTGAACTATCATGAACAACCATCATCCCAATGTAGGAATGCGGACTGATTTATCATGGTCTAACATAAAAAAAATTATTTTGATGGTATATTCCGGAGAACCGAGGAGAATTCCCAGAAAACGACCATGGCAATGTATAGATGAAATCATCATGGACTATCTTGGATTGTTGGTCTATTCGAATCAAACTTCTCTTGATCTTGATTGTTAACCACTATGGTATTAAAGTAGCATTTTCCATCATAGAATGACGGAAGTTTGTTGGCAATATATAACGCATAATGGAAAATATTGGACCATGAACGCATAATGGAAAATATTGGACCATCAAATGGTGACCATTAAATGATGTCGGACCATCATGAATCGCACTGAAACCAACATAAACCATGAAAATTTCTTTGATGGGACAATCAAGAATTTTGACTTGGGTTCCTAAACAATCATTTTGATCGATCCGAACTTTGCATAAGTACATATGACATCATTTCTGAAAATTTCGAGCATGCCCTTTGAAACTGAGCTTGAAGTTTTTCTATGTAAATTCTCCCAAAACATCTGCTGTTAAAAGAAAACTTGCTTACAAAGCGTTACTATAAAAATGCTTCCATTATTTTGATAACTATCTGTATTTCAAATCCAATTTGGAAACTGAGTTTTGCTAAATGAACATGAAAATTGTAAGCCCGTCGGCTTATTAAATTTTTAATCATTTTGCAACGCTTAGCAAATAATTTAAACAATTTAATTTAATGACTTTTTTGCAATCTTAGATAATTTGAAGTTCTTATAATTATTCGTAATTTTGTATACGTCTAAATATTAAGGATTTGCAACATATAGCAAACATTATTGATCCTGGATTCTTATTAGTAGTTTTTTTTATTTGATTTACATAACTCAATTATTTTAAAAAATGCTGTTGAGCTTTTATAATTTGTAAAACTATTGAAATGGTGCAATATTTTGATTATTTTAGCAATAGTTATGAACTTGACATTTGATTCTCAAAATATTTAGCGGTTTCCCTTTTGAAAAGAGTTGAAAAAATGCAACAGAGACAATTTTGCTGTCATCAGTTTTGTAAAAAACATTTTCGTAACATGTGTCAGACGATAATTTAGAATGTTACTTATTCGTTGACAAAAAAAGAGTTGCTTCAAACGTTTTTCTGAGCCCTTCTTTGAAAACAAGTAAACAGTTGTCCATTCTCACAAACTGCAAAAGCTATTCAAAGCTTTTGAAATCACATTTTTAAAATACTTTGATTTTGTATTTCAAGCCACTTTCCACTACTCTTTTTTTCATTTTTTTGAAGATTTCTATTTTGCAAAATGATGAAAATGATATAATGAATAGTATAATATAAAACTAATGAATAAACGAAAACACATTATCTGTTTTTTAAAGTGTTAATGATCATTTTCTTAAATATTTACAGCAGAAATCATTGAAAATCTGATACATTATTTTAATTTTTGTTTACTTTCTTAGTCGGAATATTATGCTTAGATAAAAAAGTGTTTTCTTCATATGGTAGTTAAAATATCTTTCTTAAAAAATATTAGTAAATTTAATTTAAAATTATTTTGATCTACATCTGAATAAATTAATCATATGTTTAATGATCTTGCTATAATGTGTTAAGGCTTTTGCAAAATACAAGGTATATTTTTATTTTATTATTCCATTTACCGTTGGAAAAATTAATCCTCAGAAAAACTAAAG